CCTCACCCTGCCACCTCTTGTGGTCCCGGTCCATCATGCCCCCGTCCGCAGTGCCCTGCCACGCCCGGTCGTCCTCCAGTCTTCGGCCGTGTTCCCCCCAGTCACGCCTGTCCCTTGGAGAGAGACATCTCTGACCCGGAGTGCCCCGCTGGACACGAGTGGGGGCCTGCAGTGCGCGTTCGGCACCGACCCCACCCACGTCCTCCCTTCTGGGCAGCACGAGTGGGTCCTGCCTAATGAGGCTCGGGAACCACCCGGCCAGGCCGGGAGAGGGACACACACCTTGGGGGCGGGGGCAGCCCCCGACCTTCGCTCATCCTCTTGTCCGAGCCGTAGCCCCAGCTGTCGCGCGAGTCCCGGCTATGGCGCTCTGGTCCTCCGTGGCGCTCGGGGTAATGCTGGGTGTTAAAGAACCGCGTGAGGAGGCGGCCTTGGCAGGCTTTTGGGCAAAACGTTACTGACGACGAGGATAATACCCCAGACACAGGTTCTGGTGACACACAAGGGCCCTGAGATCTGGCCGGGCTCGGGGGCTAGTGAGGAAAGGGACCCAGAGCTCTCAGCTGAAGTCATCCGGTCATGAGGCGGCGAATTCACACCAGAGGGCCTGTGCCTGACACACGACAGGCTGTGTCGTGGGGCGCTGACGACAGGCAACGCTCAGGAGCGCGTTCAGGGGCCCAGCGCGTGTGCAAATTGGAGTCCTCACCCTCCGTGCTACCAAGGCCAAGCTCACAAACTCACACGTGCACCCGACAATACTCCACTTTCTGCAATCTCTGCTTCCGCAGCAAAGGAAGCCAGAGTCAGCCAGGACAACCACGTGGTGAGGGGCGCCCCCAGCGGTGCGCAGGCCCTTGGCCTGAGGCAGGGCCAGCGCAAGCGGACAGCACCCCGGGACAGCCCTCCTGGCACACTGGTGACATCACGTGCCCAGCCCGACTCAATTTTAGAGACAGACAACCAAGAAGCAGAGGGGGCGCTGTCATCAAACACCTTTGATTTTAAGGTAGAAAACTGGGCAGGAGCACCTAACATAGCGAGGACCAGGGTGCGCGACAATTGAAAATTTCACTCTTTTCTATGAGAAAATGAAAAACTGCAAGGAAAGTATTTATAAATAGGGCGGGGAGGAGGGGTGAAGGGAGGGCAGGGACAAGGGGAAAAAATGAGAACCGAGACCTGTCCTGTAAAGGTGTAAGATCGCAATGCTGAATGGAACTGTACTGTATACCTAAAACGTATCAATGAGGAAGAAAAAAAAATTTCACCGTTTTCCTATCCAAACAGCCTATTTATTCCATGAACCGTCGAGAGACCCCGAGGCTGCCGCTGGCTCGCTCTTCTGGTGCCTGCTCACCCCGAAGCCGCGAGCAGCGGGGGTGGAGCACGAGCGCTATCCCAGCCCACCACTCGGGCCGGCCTCGGTCACAAGGTTTCATTTTGATGAAACATTAACTTTTAGAAAAACAACAGTTTGCTGACTTCTTCCTGTTTTTCTGCTCAGGTAAAAAGTATGTGCCCCGAGCTGTGCTGGTGGACCTGGAGCCGGGGACAATGGACAGCATCCGGTCCAGCAAAGCTGTCTGCGCTGCAGCCGAGAGCCGGCACGAGATGGCCACCAGTCACCCGGACAGAGGCGCACTGCACACTGTGGGTGACAGGCTGCAGCTGCCCTGCACTCACCTGCCCTTCGCGTTCTCCCATCATTGACCGCGAACCTTCTCTCCTGAAAAAGGGATTAAATCACTGTTAAGGGGAGGAAGAGGTCACTCGGCCCCGCTCCACGCTACAGGTGGTGTCTCCGCAGGGACCCCACGGCACATGCGACTCACCTGTCCACGGAGTGGTTGGGGTAGCGGCCCCGGTCCCTGTGGTCGAAGTCGTGGAAGCGGTCCTGGCGGCTGAAGTCCGAGTGGTAGCGCTCGTCCAGAGCGGCCCGCTTGGCCTCGGGCCAGTAGGCATCGTCCCTCCTGCAAGGGACAGGACAGGACGTTTCGTCCATCGGCTGCCTCTGTCGCGGCACGAGGCAGCCATTGTGTGCAGGGAGCGGCAGCGAGCGGGCTCAGTCTCTAGGGGGACACGTGCCCCCCTCTGGCGTGCTCTCGGGGGCACCGTCGTCTCTTCCTCCAAGAGCTGAGGGCTCGGATCATGCTGTCTCTCGCACCCGAGTCTGTGGAGGCCCAGAGCCCCACTGAAGGGAGACGCCCCAGGGTCGCCACCTGCTGCTGCGGATGCCCGAGCACCCGCTGAGCGCCCCCGAGCCTGCGCCTGGATGGGACCTAGGCTCCCACCTGCAGCAGCACGCACTGCTAACACGGTGCTGGCTGGCGGCCAGGGCC